AGTTTGGCACCTAACCTTCAATTGCGTGAGCTGAACGGTGCAATGTACAATTCCAAATCTGGCTATACTATGCACACTTTCTCCCTGCTTAAAGCTTATTTCATGGGACCCAGACAGGGCTTGACAGGAGTTGCTTGGATACCAATCGCAACCTTTATGAACAATTGGCAACCAATTGTTTGCTTTGGTTCCCACCAGTGGTAACTACCTTTAACACATTTTCATCATTAAGTTGAAGTATAACCGGATAGTGTCTTAATGACTTAAAATATAACGTGACTAATATTTTCAATGTAAGCTACTGCTCTTAACAGATTGTGTTAAGCCCTGCCAGGTAGACTGTCATTATCTCACTGTACTGAACAAGGACTTAGAAGCAGGGATTTCCATGTGATGAAGCCCTCCATTGACAAAACCTCAAAGGAGGAGGAGGACTAGGGTGGAGCATGCCTAGGCCCTGACATAATAACACACCTACAGGCCCGACAGCCGACACACATGTCGAAGGTAAATACGCGTGTCAGAGGGCACGGGAGCACAGACAGACATGATGAATTGCCCAAAGTTCCCACGAGGCGACACACATACAAACTTGCTCGGTGAGAGAGGAAGGTGATGTGTGGTCAGCCCCTCCTCATCACTGCAATACAGAGAATCCCATTCACACAGTGCACCTATACCCTCTATGTCTCATCATTACTTATCACAACAATGGCACTGTAACACCATACCTGTCTGCAGATTTCGCCAGTATATGTGAGTGTCGTTAAAAAAAATGGGTGAATGCAATGCTGCAATGCTGCTCGGTTGAATAGATGAATGTGTAAATATACTATTTTGGGGTGAAATGTCTTCCAATGATGTGTGTGAGTGCACATGCCGTATATGCGTTTATATCTGCTGGTATGTGTGTGTGCCCAGGCCCCTCAGAGAGATCAGCGAGCAGGGACATGACCTTGCCAGTACAGCTGGTCTTTCTGTGTGTTTAGTCAATGTAACCATGGCAATGGCACTGTGCAGACACGATGTCTACATTTGGGATTTGAAAGTCATAACGTCGCTGCCGCTCTAAGCTTCATTATGCCATGGATTACTGTAACTAGCCAACAAACGGATACATGAACACACTTCACGGACAGAATTGAATTTAAGGGTTACAGGTCATGGGTTATAACATTTACACCGTGAAGAATAGCTCATTTAAGTTTGTAGGCTGAGTTATGAGTGATGATAAAAACATGTAAGCATTATACAGTATAGCCGATATTTAGCTTTTGCCGTATGACACAAAGGGTATGATTACATCCAAATAGTCCACACATGTTGAGCAAATGTCCAAATCTCTGGCGAAAGAAAGTGTGAACACATGAAACGCAGGATTTTCTATGAATAACTGTTCAGCAAGACATAAGAGTGTATAATTGATAGAGCTCCTGCTTTAGTATTACACTGAGGAATTTGTTTTATTTTATGAGGTATTTTGTTCCAACATGTGGTTTGGTAAAAGTAGTGAAATTGAACATAATAAAAGAAGAGGAAGAAAAAAAGCCCTCAGCATATCTTCAACATTTATTTTTCCATTGCCTTTTTGTACATCGTTCTCAACTCTTCCAACTCAGCATGATCATTTGTGCTCTGAATACATTTCTATTTTCAATCTCTGAAACATCCACCTGTGAATCAACAGGTGGATGTGGTGCAGGTGTTTGCTGATACATGTTGTGTTTAGTCATTCTTCTCTCTCTCTCTAGCTCCACAGACTATGGTCCCTCCCACAGCTTTCCTCAATCATTTCCCTGTTCTTTCTTCCACCACTTCCTCCATCATTCTCCTCCTCCCTTCCTCTATCCATCACCTCCATTATCAATCACTCCCTCATTCTATCATCTTTTTTCTCTCCATCATTTACTCTTTCCTCCCCAAGTCCCTGCTCCGACTACGCTCCTTTCTTTGGTATACTGTCTTGCAGAGTCTCTACTGATGTTCCCCCCCATCTCTCAAATTGTCAACTCCCCCCGCTCTACCTCTAAAAATGTCCACTGTGTCAACTCTGCATCTCTTTATGTGCATGCCTCAAAGCTGCCGCTACCTTTTTTCTTAACTCTATCTGCATTTGCCATCACTAAAATGTAAACAGAGATAATATCAGCTCCATTCCCAGTGTCTACAGGAGGATCAGGTTGAGTAAGCCACTGCAATGTTGTGGCATGTAGTATTATCCAATTCATACTATGGAAACATCTCAATGACTAGCTATTCAACATGTCCAAACACATCATTTCTCTATTGTGTACCTACACCTCGTGACCCGAGACTCATTTAATGGCTAGCTTCTCCAGAGACCATCTGTGCTAGTATGTGTGTGTGTGTGTGTGTGTGTGTGTGTGTTTGTGTGTGTGTGTGTGTGTGTGTGTGTGTGTCTTTGAGTCATGTACAGTATGTTGGAAACTCAATCTGGTGTGGGGTGATAGAGCAGACCCGCACCGCTCCTTATACATCAAGCATTCAGCTCCATATCTGAAAAGGCATATATAAAATAGGCACTCTCCATCTCTCTCATCACAAACACACACACATAGCCACATATACACATATACACACACACACACGTGCACACACACACACACACACACACACACACAACACACACACACACACACACCAACACACACACACACACCACACACACACACCAACACACACACACACACACACACACACACACACACACACACACACACACACACACACACACACACACACCCCAAGCTAGGAATCCCAGCATGCAATGAGAGGATATTGAAAATGATTTTTTCCCCTCTTGTCTCTTTCATTAACAGTGTTGAAAAGCAAAGAGTCTGCTCTCTCTCCCTGGCTTATACACACACACGCACATTAAAAGACACACACAGAGAGCTCCCCATTTCATTGGGGAACGTGCCTCACATGGTTTGCTTCAGCTGGTCTTCTTGACAAATGCCACATTACAGCGGGGAGAAGGAGAAACTTGGCATGCAATCAAACTTCTCTCATGATTTCTAAGATTTGAAATACTTCAGTTTGTGTAGCCCCTCCATTCCATCCTCCCCTCCCTCTCATTCTCTCTTTCTGTCTACTTGTGTTTTTGCCTTCACTCTAACTCCCTCTCTCTCTTGTTACCTCTCTTTTCTCTGCCTTATCTTTCCTGTTTAGTTTTCCCTGTGCTAACTTGGACCAGAGCTGTGCTGTGGGAATACGGCCCCTTTTAAAGAAAAAAGCCAAAGTTTGTGTAAGTGTGTGCATGTCTACATACGTGAGTGATTATATGTGAGTTCTACTGAGGTTGTGTGTACATTCTGCATGCGTATTTTTGTGGCTTGTACAGATGTAAGTCAGTCTCACGAAGCTTCGCCCCTCGCAATTCAACAGTCCTTTAATCCTCATCATCAGTGACCCCAAACCCCTGCCTCTGACCTATTCTTACACGCAGACACATACAGGTTCAAAGCCACAAAAGACCACACACACACACACACACACACTCGTGCCCCCTGTGCCCCCTACATTAGCTCTTACCAGTGGAGACTTGCATTCAGTCAAAGTCTCAAACACAAAGGCAAATAATCCCATCTACTTTGTTGCCATTTATGTCAACCAAGCATCACACTAAGCTTCTTCCTCAGAAACCCTTTTAATAATAATGAATTTAACCAGAGTGACAATAAAGTAGAATGTCATTCACATGGTACTGTAGGCCTGTGAGTATTTTTCTAATATAATGTACATACCCAGGAGCACAGATTTTGTCTGTTTCATATGTAATACATTTCCTCTGCTAAACAACCCCATGTAATGCTTGGATGGTGGAAATTGAAACAGACATATAGTTGGTTTGTTTCACAAGTGTGTGTATGTGCAGATACACGGGCAGGGCACTCACTTTCTTGGTCCCCGGAACATTCAATGTACACATATACGTATTGTAGGCACATGCACACATTCCTTCCGAGTTAGTGTGATCAGAGGGTTTTGTGAGGCGTAATGAATTTTAAAAAGTTGTGTTTTCAATACACGTGTGCCAGCCTTCCCTTTTGTACTGTTCAGAGTGGCTCACATTAAAGGCATTTCTCTGCAGCACATGACAACCAGATATGTGGCTCCATGCTCCTTCAATCAGAGAGCTCAAAGCAAACACACATGTAGCCGCTCCACTGACAGATCACTGAACTTCACTCACACATTCATACAAACGCACTGACACACACTCACACATGGAAATATAGCCAGTCCTGCTAACCTTCCTCCTTCTCTAAATCTCTCTCTGTCACACACAGACATACAAATGAACAAAACAGCCAAACACACATTTTTCTAGCCTGCTGTCTAAGGCTGCACCACCTGTCCTTAATAAATGTAACTTTTCACGAGACAGCTAAAGACAACGGCTGATCCTGCTTTAAAACACACCTCAGGACTGATGTCTATATAACACTCATGTGCAGAGAGGCACATGTGAACAGGTGAGCGTAGAAAAGGGCCTAATACAGTATTAGACACAGGTTTCTGCTGCAGCAAACAAGCTGCTGTGCAGGGTGATGGAAATGTGCACATGAAGCACTGAGCGAACTGCGCCAATGTTAATAAAAAACCCATCATCATATACTTTTATAGGCTGGGTGTGTAGTCACTACCAAAAACGCTTGTGTTTTTTTTCCTGACTGTTTATCTTACTGCAGTTACCAGCAACTCTTGCTGCTCTGCATTACACATCATGCTTTGTCTGCCAATATAAATGCAGTTTAAATAATAAATAATACTGCAGTAGCAAAGTCTTTTTTTAACTGATGTAAGAAATGCATTTTATTAATGTAGAAGTAATGGCATGAGGTTACACAGAGTGTGATCCGATGTGACCTTTTACAATTTGAAAGGAAAACATCAAGTAAATAAATAAATAAGATATACATACTTTGTGGAAATAATGTTTTATATAAAGAAAAATAGCTGAGTTTGAGACTAACTTCATTTCCAGAATCTCCTCCAGCTGTTTCCGTCGCTCATGGCGAAGACTGTTGAGGTGCCCGTCTCTCTCATGCAGGGACTGCTGGGTGGAGGACAGATGCAGCTTGGTGGCATCAAGCTCCTGACGTGTCTTCTCTAAAGCCCCCATCAGCTCCTCCAACTATTCAAGGGGATAACAATATGATCAGGTTAAAACATCACCAAATGTATCAGGTTACTAGCCCTCATTTCTCTGTGTCCATTAAATAATTTAATATTTCATAATAATATTAAGAATACAAGCTATATTATATACTCGCAGTTTCACTCACACACACCTGGACATAAAGTAATGAATTACACATTTATTTGAACTTGTATTTTAGAGATTTTTTTTTGCTTTGAAAGTGGCCAGATGTAATCTAGGAGCAGGTGAAATTACTGAGGTTTAAAGGTGATATGATATGTCCACTGACCCTTGGACTGGAAACAAGAGTTCCCTCTTGTCTCCCACCTTTCTCCACTCATTTGATCTCACTCTCAAGTGTGGCTCTACTTTAGAGCAGGTGAGAATAATGCTCAACCCCTCAACTACATCTCCTCCCTCTGCACACACATGCCCTCCAGCCATGCAGGCCAACCTGCGTGTTTGAAAGACAGGATGTGACCTCAGGGCATCAATTATTCTAAGACAGGAAGTCACTAATTGTCTAACAACAAGTACTTTACAATAGGATGCAGTACTAGGCTGTCTTGCTCATAAGATGTAAATGGTAGGTCACAAACATTTAAATGTATCTTTGTTTTGATGATTTGTAGATGTGTTATATAATATAGTAAAGCAATAATTTCTGGTGTTGGGCCTCAAATGAACAAAGGGAAAGAACATGAAAAAAAGAAGCAAAAAAGAAAGGGAGTATTAGGGGAAAGCACTCCATGGGGGAGGACATGAAAAAAGAAATGGGCCTCTTTTATGAAGGGGCCAAATCGTTCACACATTTTCAGGACACTCTCGATCTCCGCTGGTTTTCTAGGTGTGTTTCACAGATGTCAGATAATGTGCTCACTGACTGGTCATGAATATCATGGAGTCAGAGAAGAAAGAGTGAAAGTCAAATGTTGGGAAAGTGACAACTCTCAGTCATGAAGCCCTCAGAAGCATTGTTTTAAATATAATACACCCTATATCCCTGCCAACAACAACTGACCTCTGCAGTATCCAGCAGATAATATAACCAATACCAACAAGACATCCAACCGTCCAAAATCACACCCTGTTTAATGTTGGATTTCTTCTTTGAGGCTTAAAACAATCCAAAGCCAATCTTTTTATCTTGAAAGCCAAAGGTCACACACACACAACTCCATTTACACCCACCACATGTCTATCAACCCTCATGCACCAACTGCCTACCTCCCAATCCCCCATCAGTCCACCACCCAGGCTAGCCTGCACTTCACAATCACATCATTAATAAGGAATACAATGCATTTTAGTGAAATTAGGGACCTAATCAGCTTAGCGGTGGGCCTGTGCGTGCTAATTTAGCTCAACTTCAAGGCAAAGCCCCCCAGCCAGGCTAAGGCTCGCTAAGACTGGCCCAAAGCCCCTTTAGTTGTTAAGCTGATTGGGGGCTCAGAGGTAAGGGCCAAATCCCTCTTGTCCATTTGCGTCGGTGTTGCTGGTTCAGAGGCCTAGTTCAAACAGCAAAGAGGGGGAGAGAGGGAGAGACACAGGAACTTAGATTGAGAGAAAGGGAGAGAGAGGGTGGAGATGATTGGTTGAGACAACTTAAGAAGGCAGATGGGAAAGAACGAGGTTCGGGGACGAAGAATGGACAGGAGAGATGATGGCAGGAGAAGGACAAGAGACAGAGAGAGGCAGAGACGGGGTGAGAGACTTAGAGGGGGTGTGAAGAAAAGCGACCCGGGGCATTACCCATGCTCCATTTCAGCAGGACAGGCTGATGGAGGACTTGTTTCAGCGCATTACACATCATGAGACTGATTACTCCGGGACAGAGGGGAGAAGAAAGAGGAAAAACCAAGGAAAGAGTGTGTGGGGGGGGAGGAGAGAGGGTGATGTGAGAATGTGAGTCTGGCAGCGCGCTCTGAAACGGTGCCAGGGTCAGGTGATGTTTCAAAAGGACCTGTCCCCCTCTCTGGTCCCCCAATATCCCTTTCCACACACACACTATGTTTCTCTGGAGTCTGAGGCGAGAGTGGTAGTTGACTGATGACTGTGTAACTGCATGTTAATGGCATGTTGACTCGCTGCCTCCGTGTGCAGTGACGTCTTTCTGGCTCACAAAGTTCAGCGTATTAACAGAACCTACTGTAGCAGTGAGCATCAATGCTGAGAGCAACAGTGCCACATGGGGACCTTTCCTCGTATCAGTGCCGGCTCAATACGTGACAAGTGCAGTCGCTAGTATGACTGCATGCTGCCTCGTTATATTCTCTATGTGAAGGATGTGGATTGACTTGAAACAAAGGCAATTTCAATTCAAGTTTTGGGTCAATGAGTTTAAAAAAACAACCTTTTCTGGCTAGACAGAGGTAAACTTTGGTCAATGCTGAATCATTCACTTTACTCATGCAAAAGTCCCACAGACATAAATAAACTTTTCCTTTGGACTTCTCTGTGAATCAGAAAAATGTTTGATAAACACAGTATCCATGCTGACGGTAAGTCGCGTGCAAAGTCCAGAAATTGCAAAAATGAAGAAGAAAAACAGCCAGTTAGTATTGGCTCTCACAGACTTTTCTAAACCTCCTATTTGCCTGTTTTGTGCAGCAATCTCCTCGCTTCATCTTTAAAGTTTTCTCAATAAGGTTCTGTCTTTGAACGCACCCTTTGTGTGGGTGAAAGCATATACATGTGTGTTTGAAGCAATGCAGCACCATTCTCCCTCAAAATGTTAGTTCTTGTTCTAACCGCCAATTGCTCTCATATTACTTGTGGCACTCATCAGTAATGCAAGGTCATTCTCATTCAAATGCACACTCACACCAAGAGGAAACACACTCCCTTGCCCTGTTTCTCTTTCCCACCACAGACACACCTATGCTCTCTCTCACACACACAAACACACATTGCAAAACGCACACAATTACACTTTTTGGACCCACTTAAAGAGTTAGACTGGCCGACTGGCAGTCAGTCAGTCAGACAGATATACTGAGTAAAAGGGCAGCCTGTACTCCATCAAGACTACAAGTCTATAGATGTGTTAATGAATTCCGATTGCATGCTCATGCTCTCACAATATGTTTAACATATGCTCACATTTTCAAGCATGCAATAGCAAACTTAACAAGAGACAGAAATGAAAGGATGCTGGGAGATTTTGTTTCAGTTTTTAAGAGGTAGAAAATAAACAAGCGCATGTTTAGAGAATAAAACTAAATTAGGCAGAGAATGAATATAACATATGATATGTGTTGGTTAAAAACTACATTTTAAGGGATTATGGATCATTCATCATCCAGTCTGCCTGCAGTTCCACTCTAAGCCACATGGAGGTGCAGTTAAGTTCTTCACATTTTCTCAGTGGTCTGTTTTAGATCAAGCTCAGCTGATACCTGCAGTCAGTTTTAAAGGTAGGCTGCTTATGCAGGGATGCATGAGACTATCTGTGTGTATGAATGTGTGTGTGTGTGTGTATGCTGGTCCTAAGTCTTCCATCAACGTGTTAAGCTTCAGGTAAACCTGTCTCTGGGACTGGACACGGGCTGTCTCCTCCTGCGCCCAGAGAGCCTCCCTATGTGCAGAGGTGTTCATGCTCTCCCTCAGTGACCTCTCCAACTCTCTGATCCGATCCGCAGTCTCCCGCATGGCATCCTGGGAAGCTGAGAGAGGAAGCTAAGGGGGCGAGAGAAGTTCAGAGAAGGAGGTCGAGGAGGAGGGTTGGAAGCCAAATAGCAAAAGGCAGAGGGAGAGTGTTTATCTTTGAGAACACTTTGCTTTGAAAACTCATCACTAAATGTTTTTACATTGGAATAATATTATACGAGCAAAAGATAATTTGAGAAAGGGTGTTTTTATTTGATCCCTTTGCGAAAAGAGATATCCAGTCCATGTAAAACAGAATCAAAAGAAAAGACTTGAGGAAGTAAAAAAGCTGAGGCAAGAGAAGAACAAGACTTCACTCAGAAGAAGGAGACACAGCCAAGACGAAGAGAGCGATAAGTGATGGAGAGATAGAGTGTGTAAGTGCTGTGACCTTTGCCAACATCTATATGAGTGTGCAGCGTGTGCTTATGTGAGAGTGTGGCTGTGTGGAGTAGACCGTGCACGATCACATGCACAGTTTGTGTGTGGCCTCTCTGACACCTACGGTGAGTGGGGGAAAAGGATCCCTCTCCACACTGGGTGATGGAACTGTGAAAGAAAACACTGGACTGAAATAATAAACCCCCCTCTCTCTCTCTCTCGTCTTCTTTTTCAAAAAACTCTCTCCTGCTCCTTAATAGTTGACTTTCCTTCAAGTTCACACGTTCACACTGTTCTGGGAGCAGTGCAGAGGCCTCGGAGTCACATGGATAAGCAGACACTTCTCAAACTGAACCAATTAGAGTTCAGTTGTACTTGTTGCAAAACAAAAGCTAGGGGTTTGCCAAGAGGTTACTTACAAAATCCCAAATAGCCAAAAATACAAGATCAGATGTTGTAGGAGGTACTATATAAGTCACAATCTGATATATGATACACTTGTAAAGCCACTGATTGCGCCACCGTACATAAAGTGAAGTAGCAACACTGATGTAATCATTTCGAATAACAACATACATACTCTGCATGAGTCAGAGCAGATATCTGCCATCACAACAAAACAGAAGATGAACAAAACGATGTGTTGAGGGTAAGAATCAGCACTGGAGGCTTCAACACCACAAACTTGATAACACACTTGTAGAAGCATGAATATAATTAATATGACACGGCACGGGCAACAAGTTGCAATTAGGTGTGTCGGAGCAACACACATTGTCGGGAGCAAGAGCTCTTAAATGTAATCATGTAAATGCTAGTTTGAGAGTCGAGGATGCTTAGAAACCATTTTAGATTTGCCGGAATAGAGCTGATGTGTGGAGTTCAACGTTAATGTGCCTGTGTCTAACATTATTATTAAGTCTGACAGCAATCTGAATAGGCAGTTTTTTTTGTATATAAGAAGCTCCAGGCTAAATAGTGCCTCACACATGGTGAAACTATTTTGATGGCAAAAAATGAATATGCTAAACGCATGGAAAACAGAAAAGAGTCAAGTGAAAATAATTTTACAAGACAGTGCCTGGAACACGCAAGAGGCATGTGAACGGCCTTTTAACTGCCCCTAATCTGTGAATATTAAGCGAATATTGACTTTGTACCTGATAATGGTGAAGCTAACTCTTCGAAGTCAATGGTAAAAATGAAATAGCTTGATTCCTTCATGAAAACTACTTTTGATGACCAAAGAAATCAACTCACTTATTCAGTGGTACGGACTTAAAAACCAGTGGTTGGACTATCCCTGAGTGTGATGAAAAAAATTCCGCCAATGCAGCCAAATCACAAGCGGATACTTGTGGCTCGTCACGTCAGCACGACACAGCTGGAGGTGAGCGACAAACACCGCACACACACGTACAGAGGCAGGCTGTGTGCATCAACAGTCCAAAGTCATAATTGGATGTGACAGACGGGCAGTAATTCGATGCACCAGAATCAACAAGTACTGGTCTGACCCTGCCTAACAGACAGAAACACACACATGCACACACACACACACACACGCACCCCACTGAGATGGGGCTGCCACCGCGGACCCCCAAGTGAAACCTGACCAAAAAACTGTGTCTGTCTCTGTGTGTGTGTGCATTTATGTAGTATATGTGTCTGTCTGTCTGTGTCAGTGCATGTCTGCGTGTTACTTGAGTTTTATTAGTAACAAGAGAATATTGCTGGCTTTCACATACAAAAAATGGAAAAAAAAAGGCAAGAGAGATAGAGAGATTCAGAGTGGGGAGAAATGGAAAGATAATTGCCTCTGCAGCGCCAATCATCACCTAATGCCCTGGGGAAGGATCATTATGGAGTCTGGCCCTTTCTGGTTTGATGGAGGGATTATAATCACTAAAATAAACGAGCAGAGAGTGAGAGAATGCACATTTCCAGCAGCTGTGTACCTATGATCCTAAGCTTCACACACACAGGCACAAAAACCACACAGACATCTGTCTCTGTCAAAAACGTTAAATGCACGGCATCAACTTCTGTGTGTCCCATTTCATGTTTAAAACATGTTAAGCATGTGTGCATGGCCAGAAGTTTCATATAGAGTTTCAGTCAAATCTACAGGTTGTGGGAACAAGCTTAGAAGGAATGAAAATCCTGAAATGTGTCGATCTTCTTTAACTTTCCCCAGGTTTAAAAAAAAAAAGAAGACCTTTCTATAATCCTAGTGTCTCTAAATAGAGGTGGGTATCAAGTGTCATTGATGCCCCTTTGTTACAGATAAGAGAGAAATAAAGGCCTGTGTGAAGGCTTTGAAAGTGAACATTTCCGACGAGTGTTTTCTCTGTGTTTGTGAAGTGCAGCGTGGCGCGATGGAGACGATGAAGCGGAGAGATGCTATCACCACATCCCACATAAACTCTCCTGGATGGAGAAGGAGGGGGAGCACTGAGGGAAGGCACTGTTTGTTTGTGTTTACCCTCGGAGCGTGCTGTGTTCCTGATGGAACCAGAGATACATCTAGAGAGAGAGCAAACAGGGCAAGTAGAGCCAGATATGGGGCCACGATGCAACCTGACTGCTGAGCAAACACAATTTACAGAATGCACACTGTATTTAATCATACTCTTCTGGATATTTGTGCACCAACAGGCCAATGTTTGTGAGGTTCTCCCATTACACAGTTGATTTGAACGAAAAAACAGGTTTATTTTTCCACTGTAAAGCTGGTAAATGCTAACAGCACATCTGATTACAATTCATTAATGAACAAATACACCGTTTGGATAAAAAAAAAAACAAGGCTTCAGTCATCTCTGGAACTTTCCATTTAGCTATTTCTGTGGACGTCATCTATCTCCCTGACATCAGTTCCACTACTCCCCTGCACTCGTACCTGTCCCTACTTCTTTCTTTCTGGCACTCAGTTCATGTCTCTTTCCAGGTTGTAGCAATATTAATGTGTGCTACTCAAACAGTGTTTAGAAGAGGAAATAGGATGTTGGATGCTGCTTGCCAGCACACACAAAAATAACAAAATAACTCGACCAAAAACATACTGCGAGCAGCTCTGGTTCTTTTTGGCAGAGAGTTACAGAGAGGTGTACTCTACTTCATTGGTCCTGTGGGAATAACCTGGCATGGCTACACTCTGCATATTAACACCCCAGCATAGCTGTGCAAGCTTACACAAGCATGTACAGAGACACAGATGCACTGTCAAGCGAACAGCTGACACTCATGTTGACCTCTGAAAAGAACTATAACAATGACAGAAAATGATGTTACATCAAGATGCTCTTTCCTGTCTGACTCATCAGTTCTGACTATTCACTTCTGAGCCATTATACCGCAGATCCTTGCTAGCATATGGAGCTGATTTCTGTAGGATTAAATGCCTATCTCTTCCACCTAGGGCCGACTCTCAGATGCATTCAGGGAGGCAAGGCAGGGGGCTTGAAAGACTGGAAAATGTCTTTCTCTGCTCAGAAGAACCGAGTTATACAAAAAGGATGAATCTAGAGAGCAATAGATGAAGGGGAAAAGATGATACTTACAGTAGAGAATGGTCTTGCAGAGAGGTGAATAGGAAAATAAGAGGAGAGACTTGGGCAGTATACATTAGTACAGTAAAAATGAATTAACACATGAACGCACAAACACATATCCAAACCTGCGATAAAGAGTGTGGATGTCCATCAATCAGGCCATCTTTCGTCATCTCACTCGCCACTGTCTGCTTCTGGATATTAGGGGACTTGACTTGCCTTCAGAGACAGGAAAATGTTGTCACAAAAAGAGATGCTCAATAAAGATTTGTTAATTAATCATTGACACAAAGAAAAAAGTGCATGACCATAGTGTAGTCCTGTAGGTAAAGATGTAAGCACATACACACAATATACAGTAGCCACAATTAGTTAAAATACAATTTCCTTAACCATTACAATTTGTGCTGCTTTTATTGGGATTTGAATAATGATTTTTGACCATAATGTATACCTACTTACAGATTTTTTTTGGTGGTAGGAATAGAGTGTGTATAGTAAAGCTGGAAAATACTGTGTGTATGTCTTGTCTTAGTCTAGGAAGATTGGAACAAGACGAGACTTGACTGATGGAGGTGAGACACTGCAGTGTAAATCTTTCAACAACAAAACACACAAACACATGCAGACAGGAGATGCAAGCACATTCTCGCACACACACATGCTCAACAGATATGTGCAATAAGTCTACAGATCAAAAGACAGGATGACACGGGCACATATACAAGGGCATGTGCTTTTAGAAGTCTATATACTCTGCCAGGAGTACATCTGCTGTCAGTGCTGTGCATGCTGAGGTCCTGATAACAGAGCCTAACCGTGTATTACCCAGCCAGGATGGCTTTATATTTACCTCAAAACAATGACTACTTCCTGTCATTTACTGAACTTCTGTTGCCAGAAATGTATGGCCCACACTCGAAATAAAAATATGTGTGTGTATACAAATATGCATTGACAAACACTCACACTCAATAAAACCCTCCATGGTGCAAACACATGTGATCCCACAAAGCCCATTCACCATAGGACACACACAGCTGCGCCTACACAAACGCAATCTATATCTTCTCACGAGTACTCTCAAAATAGAATCAAAACACACTCTTCGAGCTCCTCGTTTGGCCTTCACACTTGAAAAAAAAAACATGCGTAGAAGTGTGAAAAAGCTGACAGTGACAAATTAGCGCTTAAGAGAACCCTCTAACACTGTAAACAGGCTGTGACCAAGCAGCTGCTTAAAGCGCCACATTATTATTCCATATCCACACGGGTGTGTTTACTCTGGGAAAAACATACAAGCTGCCCCCACATATGGGCAAATACTTGCTGTCACCGCGCTTAGAATGATATGTGTGTCAGTTTTTATGAGTTATGTTGGTTTGCAATTAATGTAAATTATAACTAACATTCATCGATGATGAATACAGTTACACACATCTACACACACACACACACACACAATATCTGATAATCTTCCCCTAGTACTATAGCACAGCTTTGGTCAGTTTGTTAAGCCTGTATTTTCATGTGTCTGGCTAACTTCTTTATTACTTTTTTTAAGACTTTGCTGTTGATTTTATATGTTGTTATCACTTTTACGAATGGGTTTTGAAAAGTGCTCCTTAAATAAAGATTATCATTAAATTCTGATAGCATTATTTATCAAAGGTCGGTACACACATTATATACATGTGCACATATTTACCCAGTGGAGAAGAGGAGGCGAATCATCTGTTTATACTTCAAACTTTGATGTCTGTGAGTGTGTGTTTTTACAAGCTCACAGGCATGTCCATGGAAGGCAAAGTTGCCATGAGGGCATATCAGCTATCACACACAGCCAGCACGTGCACAGGTGTATAAACCAGCAGACACGCTGGTCCCTTTTGATAGCTGATATACCCCCATCAACCCATCAGTGCGAAATGAAGTCAATGTTTTGACCAATGTGAAGGCAAATGAGGGCACGTACTGTAGAGTGTGAATAATGAGAAGACGGGCTGGGCTGTATGTGAGTGGAAAATATGAAGGAGAACTGTGATTTGTTGAGTACCAGAAGGAGACAATTCCTAGAGGGGAAAATAGTATTTTATGGCTGTGACATTTCAAAGAAAGATGAAGTGAGACACAGAGAGAGAGAGAAGAGAGAGAGAGAGAGAGAGAGGAGAGAGAGAGAGAGAGAGAGAGAGAGAGAGAGAGAGAGAGAGAGAGAGAGAGAGAGAGAGAGAGAGCATTGTGCATGAATCCAGCCACTTCCTAAACTACGTGTAATAAGTCATTTTCACATTTCCTCTTGCTTCTTTCACCTGGAGCATTGCACACATCTGCCTTCCAACATAAGCAGCCCCGCTTTATTCCTGGCGGTCAAAACACAGCTCTTTCTTTTACCTTGTATATCTCTCTTTATACATGTTTTTATTTTTCTATCTTAGCTCATCAACCCTCTCTTTTCCATCAACTCTTTAACTCTCCTTTACTTGTTTTTCACTAACTTGCCGGTCTTACAACTCACATCCTTTTAGAATGACATTGATACAAATACAAATAAAGTGAATAATGAATCCTCAAGGAGTATTGCTCACACACCCTTGAGCATGGCACAAAAAGGAGGTGAATGGCTTCAGTAGAGCTGCTGAGTTGCCAACAGTCGGAAGCTGCGGTCACACTGGGACTCTCCCAGATCTGAATGTGGGAAACTGTGCATTTTAAATAGGGTGTTTCTTGAAAAGAGTCTGTATTCTCAGTTCTTTTCAAGGTTAAATAAAGGTTAAAGGTAGTAATAACCTTAAAGGGGAAACAAAGATTTGTATCTCCCCTTCATAAGTCTTAATTACTGTGTCTCCTTCTCCTCTCTTTTAATAAACAGTAGAGTGAAATAAAATCCTCTGATTTCAAGGTTTGCACAATATATGGAATAAGGGCAAGATATGATCAGAAATAAATGCATTTTCTCGGTTGTGCAAAAAGAAAGTGCAGTATAAGAAGAAAGAAGGAAAAGAGACAAGGTACTATTAGGCAGTCTGGGGTTTTATCTGAGGTGCTTGTCATGCAGTGCTGAGAGATCTAACTAAGTCTGGTTATTACTAATAGATGCTATATTGTGCTTAGGCATATATTATTGCAATATAAATACCATTTAGCTCTTGCTTTTGTATCATGTCTGCGTGTAGATGACAGGGTGAAATCAAAAGGAGGTTTAAAAAATGAAGAAGTGGTTGGTCTGCGTGTTTGTCTAAATGCTTACATGTAAGAGGATAGTGTTTACATTTGATATGTGTGGAATGAAAAACCTGTGCAGCTTTTCTATTTTCTACAGTCAATCAGGAAGTTGACAGGTATTTTTCAAAGCTAAAATGGACTTAGAAATTGGATGGACAGCTGCAAATCATACACTCAGTTTTGATTATGGGCATAGGAATAAGGCTCAACATAACATGTGTGTCTTTTTTTGCGCAAACTGTTGTTTTTTAGCAAATTAATATTTGTCCTAACCGTCAATTCCTATATAACAACCAACATACCCTCACCATCTACACTACCATCAACATGTATGCTCCTCAGTGTCAGCCTAGACACACACGTGCACACTCACACACATACATAAGTTCACATATACACAAACCTCCTTTTTCCTGAAACCCTCCCTTACATACCAGAGTGCTTACCACTTCAATAGCTGTGACATGGTGAAACTGGGAGGCTGATTTATTTCTCGAAATCTAGCTCCCACATTTCCACAGGATCGTGAAAACTATAGGACTGTAACAGCATTAAGAAATATACAAAATAAATCCACTGGTTTACAATTTATAGCCGTAAGGGAAAGAAAAGGAAAATACAAAAAGGCTTTAAATTCACCCAAAACATACATTTTCTTTTTTTGTTTCCATGTTTGAACAACCTTTGTCACAAACTGGAGATTCTTCAAAGCACCAAACTCATAATAACACACTTATGGCTGATGAAAGTACTACTTGATTAAATTCATAGGGAAATGATCAGAATGATTCACTCCTAATGTGTCATACTAAGATACTTTTTCATTTTAGTCTACCATATGTGCACAGACTGCTCCAAGAGCTCTGTAACCACCACGGCTTTCAGGGCTCTACTTAACAAATCCAACTACTTGCATTAGTGTTAACAGCTGATACAGATGCTTTCCTCAAAGCCTGTTCAGTGTCTCTGATCACTTAGGCAGATTAGCTAGGATTTGCACCTACACACAAAGCAGTAAATAAAACACTAACAATAAACTACCTGATGTTATCACTGAAGACTTACAGTAGATCACGAGGAGCTCTAGGCAATGAAAGAGCTGCGAGTGAGCCTCCCTTGTGCTGGAAGGTATTTATTACAATGACCTGCTGACTACATTCATCTTTGACTCTCTCTGCATCACTGCCAACTGGATGAGAAAGTGTATATTTCCTCATCTGTTCTTCTCTCTCTCCATTCAGATAGTGGTTAATAGGCCATCTGACCGAGTTCCAACAGAAACAGTCTGATTAAAAAGACATCCATCCTCTGCCCAGACACGTCTTGCACTGTCTTACACAGAAGTCCAATCAGCACACAGACACAACTGTCCACCCATGCTGTCACGTAGCAACATGTGCACAGAAACACACAAGCACCATTTATTGTGTCTGTGTTTGTGTCAAATGTATTTGTTTAATCTGAATTTCCAGTGATAAAATAAAAATATTATAACTATAATAAGTGGATGCTCCACTGTATTCTACAGATGGCATTTAACTTACAGAAAGTGAAAATGAAGTGAGTGTTCATAAAACAGCCATTTCTTGGGTTCTGCCTTCGTTGCATGTCATAGAACTCCCACCTCTCCCCTCCCTCCCCATTTCTACACTGTCCTCTGTCAAGTAAAGGTTGAAATGCAAAAGCAAATGTATTTTATTTACATTACAGCAGCAGTGTTTAACTGCAGTGGATCCTCCTCTGATAACCTGCAGCTGACATGTATTTGACCTCTGACCCCTACATGCTGACCAACAGGGAGGGGTCAGACAAATAGAAGTGACTGTCTGACATGAAACAGCACCCCGATACGATAGACAAATTGAGGTGAACTCTTCAGCCTCCGGACACCAAACACTGCACACAGGAACTAACTTACAGTGAGCACACACATGTGCATGCGCACACTCTGGTTACAGGTGCATGTGAGTAGCAGACATGTAGAGGTTGTTATGACGCATGCACAAACACATTGAAACAGAGAGTAAACTGTGTGAACAAAGTCTACGGGAGCTACTGTATCCCTGTTATATTTAATACCCATGCGTTCCCACACAGTTTGAGTCAGCACACGGTATCCCTGCCAGAGTGCAGTCTGTAAAACGGGTAATGAATGAGGCAGGAAACTATGTTGGATTCAGTACATACAGCCTAACCAGATGCATTAAAAGCCATTCAGAATTATATTGAACCTTATGGGGCCAGTTAGTGTTGAAATCAAATGTTTTTGCACATACTTCTTTCACATTCATGGTTTCTTTTGTGCAGTTGGCGATTGACCAATAGAGAAAGCTCCCACTGTCAATCTACACACATGCCAACAAGCACACAAACAGCTTCAAGTTAAGATCCACTTTGTACGGAAACAAGACACACGAAAACATAATTGTACCCTACTTTTTTGCACATGCACACATGAAGTGAATACACACACAGACACCAACTTGCAGTACCTTTGTGTTGGCACTAAACAACCTCTCATTTGGGCATATATATAAAACATGCCAATCCATAAATCAGATGATAATTGAGTAGTACTGTGCCAGTAATAAACAGAGTAGTATAAACAGCCAGTGTCTGGGCTGGATACACCACCTCCCACTGGCATGCTGCTGTCTGCCTTCCTGGCAAACTCAAATACACAAACACAAACACACACATACACAGGCAGGCACACAAACACACAGACATGCACACACACAGACACACGCTGAATGCCTTTACAGTAATGCAAAGACATACCCAAAACCACTTACCTGTTGGGTTTACAGCCACGTATGTGAAAACACGGAATGACATGAAGGAAAACACACATGATAGCAATGAAATGGGAAGAAGCTTAGCGGAATTCAACACAATAGAGAGGCTATAAGTCTCCAGTGACATAAGACAGGAAACATATAAAGTCTCTCATTGTGTTATTGCGGTGACAGGAATAAGGACTGCGATTTTTTGCTGTAAATGCATTATCCATTTACTGTCCCAATGGGATAGTCAATTCTCCCTGGGAATTAGATTTGAGCCAAAATTCCTCAATTTATAATAACCTAAAATGTCATTCCATGATGTCAAAAGTGATGGCTACTGACAGTGTTGGTGATATTAAGAAATACTTACCCAGGTCTGCAGATACATGAAACAAATGATAAGAAATGAAACCAAGTGATTAAAAACCTCACGTGCATAGGTCACAATGTGCATTTCTAGTTTCTAGTGTGATTACATCAGGCAAAAGGCATGACAGCGTGGAAGTGGTTTCAAGTGCAGGGAGGACACAATCTAGACAGTTTATGTCTCATGGATTACTCTTTTATACACCACTTAGGAAAGATTTGAGATCTGAGAAAGATCCGGTCACTTGGAAGGACACTGCTCTCTGAGGACACCCACATGGTGTGTTGTTATGGATATATATGATTGAAGTTTGGACCCTCACCTCTCAAGGTCAGCAATTTTCTTCTCCTTGAGCAATTTGTCCATTTCAGCATCCCTCAGAGCCATCATTAGCCTCTCAACCTCCACTTGTGATTTCCCAGAATCCTCTTTATTGCGAGCCACTTCCTGCTCCAGAAGCCTCAGACGGTCTGTGATGTCTGGACACTTCCGGACTGCTTCTTCTATGTTTTGGGTCTTGGGGGGAAGAAGAGGATACATGAGAGAAAGTAATATCCTGCATGGATTATTTAGGCCATCTCATACAAGGCTTTTCAAGGGCTGCTCTTTTTAAAGATTATTTTGTTTAAACTTTGTCATATACTTCAACACGCATTAGCCTTAGCTGGTCTTTGTCAGCAAATAACACACTCTTCTTCTGTACTCTTTATAAACCACCTACAGATTTATTTTGGATAATTTCAGCATTGCAAAATATGAATTAACTAAGTTAGTTAGTCAATAGAATGTACAACACAATCATGAAGCTGCACCTTAAAAAACAATATATTTCTAAGTGAAAAACCTCAAATGTTACTTGTATTATGGTATGATAGAATTATGGAAAATATTATGCTAATACCTCAATATGCTACTTTGTTAACTGTAAGTATTAGCATGCTATCCTGTTTCAGGTGAAAGGCCAACTCTAGGGGATAAAAGCTGAGCGTAACAAAGGACACAGGAAGTTAATAAACTACAAGTGAGGCTGTGGTGCAGCTGAAGTATGACCAAGCAGAGTTAAGAATGAAAGGGAACGGTTTAAAATGAAGGAAAGATATGACTGATGGATGTTGAGCTAAGCGTGACAAAATACAGCTCAGACAGATAAAAGTTAGTCTGGCAACAGAGAGCAGAGCATCTGAGATGTCCTAAAATGGCCTCACACGAGCACCAACAACCAAGAAGCATTAAATACAGTAACACAACTTACTGTGGGGCTTCGTGCTGGGGGTCCATCTACTTTGGCTGTTGCCTAGAAGGCAAAGTAAAAACAGAGTTTAAGAACCAGGTACAATATACCATTTTACATTTTCTAAGACTGAAGATTGGAGACTGACTGTAACTGTATACAAGGTCAGTTAGGTCCTGAAGATGTGGTCAGGGTCACCGTCTATCTGAAGCAGAACCAGTCTGTGCCTTCATCTGCTATCATCATTTCATCATTTCATCACCCCCCCCCCTTCTCCTCTGCTGACTGATTTTGTGTGGTTTGTGTCTATCAGTTGCCTCCCTGGGGCGTCTGTCAGTAGAGTTTGGAGTTCAGTCATTATCATTATAAAATTACTGTCTCTCTCTGTATGGCTGCGATTTTATGAGACCACCAAACCTCTCCAAAAGTAAAATGTTGAAAAAATAGAGAAACACTGATGAATTCTTTCTTCTCTGAGAAAAATATCCCAGAGGAAGTTTGTACCCTAGAATTATCTTTCTCTCTACTTGTCTCTGTTTCGCTTGGTCTTTACTCTCTGTCTACTGTGTTTGTGAAGATTGGTTAACTTGTTGAAACAGCTGAGGCCACTCGTTTAAACATCATCAAGTGAGAGCGCACAAACACACACAGCAATTTATTGTCAGGTCTACATAGGTCTGGGGCTGTACATGTAGCTATGCTTGAGTCTGTTATTAAAAAAAAACAAAGAATGACTGTCAACTATTACCGTTAGCCAATTCTTTACCATTTAAAAAAAAAACTAGATGAACCAATTGTATACATGGGCCTCTGTATATGGGAGATACAGCCATGGGCACATGTTTTTTAGATACAGTCAGGTAGCTCAGCAATAAACCGTTTAAACCATTTATTTAAAACACACACTTACTGTATAATGTCTATGACTTTTGTTTTATTTTAGTCCTGCCCCGGGTATATATATGAGTTTGACTGACTGTCTACAATATATGTGCCACATGTGACCTAAAAAGCCCCATAAGCTTGTCACTGTACTGCCTGTGTATACAGACAAATGCCTTTACTGGATATTAAAAACAGTGAACTAGAGATTGAAAACAAGTGAAAAAGGGGTAAAAGTTGGTCCTCAGGAAGGAAAGCAGAGTCATTGTTTTAACTCCTCCTCACCCCCATTACCTCTGCACCTAGCCTCACACACACATCAAACCCAATCTGAGCTTACACAAAATGCATTAAGGCTAAGTAGACCAGAGTTTATGTTCTTACGTTGGAAAGTACAGAGAGGGGAAAAGCAGGGGCTAAAAGACGGCTGGTCCAACAGGAATTAGTGATATTATGACAGGAGGGGGAAGGCCAGTAAAGATACGATTACATATTTGGTCACTGAAATTATTATTATCATTCCTGGAAATGTCTCTGAACTGTAAATATTACAAATAAGTTAAATATGTGTGGCCACCATGGATCTAAACTGGGTCACAGGATACCTAGCACCTATCTTTTTTACTCCTGAGGGTAATAACTGTCTCGAGTATATAATATATCTTAGATATGACAGGGTTCTATCTCATTAAGATAAGTCAGTGCAAACAATCAATGTCTGATAAATCGAATCTTCATATTTTCTCCCAATAAAAAAAGGAATAGGAAAAAGTGTCATGTATGTATCATAAGGATAAGACATTTGCCTGGTTGGAAAAATAGTTTTTTGAATAGGACAAAAGTGAGTTGAGGTGTGGTGCCTCCTTGCTGATTTACGCCAACCCTCTCTGAAAAGGTCACAGCCTTCCCTTAGGTGCTTTACAATTTTCTCTTTGAAGAACTAGTGTTTAGTTTCAGAAGTCCTTTATTAACTTCGGAATCAACAAATACTGTTTTATGGGAAGTGGATGAGGAGGCAGTGAAGTCAACAAAGCTCTGAGGTCAAGATAAAAAGATCCACTAATAGCTCGACTGAGTCAGCGATACAAACATCTGCAGATACAGTGTGTGGGCCACAGCATATCTGCATGAGGTAAATGGCCGTCAGGCAAAAAGCTTATCCCTCAATGTTCGTATGAATTTCAGAAATATGAGATTATCGTCAATTGAGGCTATTGCTAATACAACTTTAGAGTTGTTTTAGAAGCTTTAAAGCATTTACTATAAGAAGCTGGTTTGCAAAATAAAATGTATTATTCAGATTAATATTTTGTGGAGTGTCACAGCAATATTTAAGTTGCATTAACAAAAGGGATTGAGGGTTTGAACACATTTTCTTAGGATTTTTTTAATTTAGCTAATTAAGACCAAACATAATTTGCTGTCTACTTTTAGGTCAACACTGGATGAGTCTTTATAGCAGAAATATTTTTTTTAAGTAGTACAATAACATCATTTTGTTTTCCACCAACAAATGTCTGCCCATTTCAAGCAAACGATTGGAGACAAAACTATTATTGACTTTTGATGCCCCGTTTTTTGTACTCCATGATTGAAAGCTGAGCAACATTCTTGTTTTGAACAGGCTGTTTTAAAGAAAAAGGAAAAAATTAGCAGTGAAGTTTTCTATTGGTATTACATCTACAGTGTCACACACCCTTTTTGCTGCCCCCTCTGAATCTGGCGGCTCTGGTGAGGATTAGGCATCTTACTGGCGACAGGGGAGACAGACTGGGCCTTTCAGTGCCAGGGACAGGTGTAAAGGGCACCAAAGGATTTTCTCTGATGTAGAAACAATCAACAGTTGTATACATTTTAAATTACCGGTATGTTTTAAGCTTGTGAGGTTGCTTGAGGTGCACAGGGTGCGGTTTCGTACGCACGCACGCACGCGCGCGCACACACACACACACACACACACACACACACACACACACACACACACACACACACACACACACACACACACACACACACACACACACACACACACACACACACACACACACACACACACACACACACACACACACACACACACACACACACACACACACACACACACACACACACACACACACACAGAGAGAGACCTGATAAATGTCAGGCGCACTGGTGCTACCTATGAAAATGTTTAGTCGCACTTGACAGACGTTTGGTAACACTCTGGAGCCCTGCTAAAGCAAATGGCGCGTGTGAACGTATACAGTATGTGTGTGTGGAGAGTCAGTTTGATCAGAATCTAATCTCAGGCACCATGTCAGTTCACCTCTGGCCTACTGAGTATTACAGCCCTCACAACCTGTCACACTCCACTGCACTACAATAGGATCAAACACACTTTGTGACGGCTTTTGTGTCCAACTATTAGCTTTTGTTTTTATTTTATTGGGTGCCAGTCTGGAGATATCCTACCAAAAGTTGTATAGGGAAAAATCTCAAGCAAACACAAATATTGTGTGCCTTAATTGTAAAATAAATTACATACTGTATACAACCTCAATAAAAATAAACATTTGTAACACAAAGACCTTTTTCAAGGTGTTTTTCAGTATTTTCAAATAATTATAAATTGCATTAAGAACAATTACAGAGACAGTCTTCTTTGAAATAGGCAAACTAAATATGTTTTACCAATGACTAATCCTGTACTGTGACATTGTTAGGAAGGACACACGCACACACACACATACACACACACACACACACACACACACACACACACACACACACACACACACACACACACACACACACACACACACACACACACACACACACACACACACACACACACACACACACACACCACACACACACACACATACACACACACACACACACACACACACACACACACAGACCAACAAAAAGCAGTTCGCATTCATCAGACATTAGGGTTTTACTGACAACTGTTTCTTTTAGGGAAGGCACATTATTATTTTTTTATGATGATGGCAATTTAAATGACTCGGTTAGACTTTGCTACAACTTAAACACATGCAGACACTCATATATCCGCACAAACATGCATTCACCAGTTTAGTCTGTGCTGGCAGGCATGCACGCACAGGCACACAGAAAGAAACACTCACACACACATACTAACAAATATATACACACAAACATCTGTGTTTCTGAATAATCTTCAAGTTTACATAACAAGTCTGATTGCTGTCGAGTACACAACATATTCCAATTATGGCAACACTTCTGTCAGAGTGTGAATCTGCTGGCTGCAAAGAGTTACTGAGATGCTTTGCTTTCATGTGGTGCCTCGTCAACATTCAACAAGATATCATTTCACAGGAATTAAATGTGTGTATGCTTTTTATGAGAATAAAAAAAACATTCTCATAAATTCTGGCAGGGCGAGATTCTGTCCTGGCTTGTAGGCCTTGGAGAGGAAAAAGAGGGAGAAAAAAGACAGCCAGGCTTTGACTTGGCACCTGAACAGGGATAGAGGGATCTTTTACGTCCATAAATCACTCTCCCTTAATTCATCCCTTTATCCTGTGGGACAAAGTGCAGGCAGGCCCTTTGCTAGAGAGTTGCTAACAATATTGTGGATGCGCACAGGGAGGTAAGAGAGTGGAATGACTATTACAGTAGATGTACGCAGTGTAAATACAGGGTGCAAGCAGGGTATTACACCAATGCAGAGTGGTTGTAAAGTTAATTCTTTTCATTCTTTATGTACAATAAAATATAATTATAAAGTGTATTGATGTTCCTTTTGAGATTTCAAAAGTAAAATATTTCGAGAAATGTGTTTGTTTTATGAGGTCTGATTAGCTCATTTACGAGACTGACACAAGTGTGGAAGCATGTGCAATTCTGTTATGATGTGGATGCCGATGAAATATTGATTGCCGTTTGTCTGCAGTCCACACACATACCAGACTACCAATCCTGTGTACAGTGCTCATACTGTATCCACACGCAAAGTTTGAACCACAGGGTTTGTTTTGGATATTTTAAATTTTAAATAGCCAACACATATTTACCTGAACTACCAACAATGCATGTCACGCACCTTTTTCTATTTACAAAACATCACATTCTATTACCTTGATCAAAACAATCCATACTGACCTCTTCATCAGGCCTCTGGTTTGTGGACAGGACGGGGATGGCAGGCTGACTCTGAGTCAGTTTCAGGGGCTGCAGTACTGAAAGTTTGTCCTTTAATAGCTGGTTCTCCTTCCTCATCAGTTCCAGCTCCTCCATGCGAACCCTGTCTTCCCGCTCCTTCTGATCGCGCAGATTCTCAATCACACGCTCCTGAGTTAGTAAAAGAACAACAGATAAGAGAGGTTTGATAAGAGATGGGAGTAGGAGTATACAGTAGTAGGGACAATAGGTATTATCTGCATAAATGGTTGTTCACATTTAAAAACTGTGGGTTTTGCTCCCAGTGTGTAAAAGATTTTCAGCCCTGTGTGATTACCGTTTTATTTTCCTATCATTATAAAAAAATCGGAACCAGTCTCTGTCTGCTTAGGCTTGCCAGCATGTCTTGCAAAATCAGGCCACAGACAAACTCATAAAGGCCTGTCATAAATAATAGGGCCATAAATAATAGCAGGGACAAGAGAAGATCAGAGCAAAGTAGAACACAGAAAGATGGAGGAAGTAGGAGAAGGGTTGAGGGACAGAGATAGATTTATTGAAAACAGGTTGGACAGAACAGTAGATCACATCCTAACGGCTTCTCATCACCTGCTATTAAACCAAGCTGGAGTGTTTACATCATCATTTTCTCTTTTCTTTAATCACACTGGACAGCAAGAGGACTAAGGATTTGGCCATTGGCCTGAGACCAGGTCCACACCATGGGTGGCGAAGCATGCAAGGTGTGTGTAGTAGGTCGTGTTAAGGTGTATGTGTGTGTGTGTGTTTAGGTGTGGACTGAAGTGATTATCAAGGTGTTTACTCAGGTGTTTATTTAGGCATAGAGCACAGCTCAGCAATGACGCTTTACGATGTGGCATCGCCGCATGATTGGCAGCTTTAAACTTCGGGGTAATTGGACAAATACACCCACTAACTAGTCCTGGCACAGTAATGCACTGCATAGTGAGCTATAGATGAGAGGGTGAGAGAGAACGAACAGAGGGAGAGAGACCACATGGCTAATAGGGCCTGGGTGTTTTCCCCACATTTTGAAATATCTCTAGGATGGAGTTCAGGGAAAATGTGATAATTAAATCTGCCTTTATAAGGCTTAAGTATGGAGCATACTATACATAAACAAAACACAAACACACACACATAACATCACAGACAGGGACACACACACAAACAAACACACACATACACACATACTGTACATAAAAGCACCAAAGAGCAGGGCTCGATGGGCACAATGCCCTCGTCTGTTAATTAGAACCACAGTACTGTGGCTGGCGACTGGCTCCAAGAGCAGGTTTGTGACAGGGAGTGTGATTAGCAACACACACACTCACTCTTGTAAACACATTACACACACCCTGTGTTGACCACAAAGTCTGAAAAGCTCGCCAATGTTCTCCTCATCACAGCTGAATTATATGTAGGCTGCATCAGAAGTGGTTTCTGGGTAAACAGATGGGCCAAGGCAGAAAAGGGATTTGCAGTTTATAATGCCATTATGCTATTCATTTCAAAGTCTGTCGGCAACAAAAACAAATTTAAGTGATAAAAGATCATTTTAAGTGAAAACATCTATGTACTAAATGAAAAACACATCAGCCAAGATCTTGTCTATTAAAAGACTGCTTTCTGAGAACACAAAGCATTTTTCCTTGTTGATTCAATGGATGCTAATTCAGTGTAGATCAAGTAAAATACAGACTTCAAATCAAAGGACATGTTCACAGCCTACTGACAAACACCCGCACATATATATGTGATCATACCTGGCTGGAACTCAAGCACCCTCCTGTCTGACTCCACTTAACCTGCTTTCCCATGATCAGTCAAAGCACTTACCATTGTGTAAAAACACATATATGTTTATTGAGTGGGCCACTGTAAGCTGTCTCAGCGCTAATGATGTTCCTCCGATTTAGAATTGCTAAAAAAAAAACATGGAGTTGATTTCATTAGATTGGAAATTGTTTGAACTTTGACCTAGCATTAACACCACCTTTCAAAATGTCAGTAATGAAGCATATCACTAGGTCAGGCAGAGCACTGAAGTCACGCTTGTATTGGCTAATTGGGATCAGCTGTTTTCAGTTCGCTTAGCAATGATTGGCTCACTCAGTTGTGGCTTGTAACATCCAATCTTTAGCAAGCAGACATACAGAGCAGATATCATAACCTTACGTTGTGTCGATGATGAAGCTCATGCTAATGCCATTTGCTGCCCCAGAACACTCCACCTCCCTAACCTCCTTTTCTTTTGTGTTTGTTTTTGGTTGATCTGACTGGGTAAACACAAGTAACACATGCTAGTTTTACACACAGACATGTATAGGCATAAACATGCACAAATAGACTATGTGCACATGGGAACACACATAAAAAAGTGGCAGCCACGGGCAAAACAAGATATATAGCTGGACACCCACATCTGTCCTAACTGGGAACTCTATACACTCTTAAGCAGCAGCAAGTGCCAACAACATGTAAACCAGCATCCATCTTTTAGCCTGCAGTGCAAACAAACATGTAAATGGGAACCATTATTTAGCCTGCAGCGCCAAAGCAATCATTTTTTAAGACTTTAGTACCAAAGAAATGTCTGCTAGCAACAACTTCAAACATTCAACAAACTTAAGCAAGATCGAGTCACACTGAAATCAAGCCAAGCTAACTACATTGCAAAAGGTTTATGTAAAAGAAAAAAACGTTTAGCTTTCAAGTTTCCCGCAGTTGCTATTTACCTGGGAATATGGCTAAATCAATGGGGTTATATTGGGTAACTGAGTCTGTGTGATGAAATGTACCGCATTTGACACCACAGTAGCCAGCAAGACCATTCATCTTTAGTATAGTGAGGCTGAGGTGAGGCTTTATGGAGACCAGCTGCTCTCTCATGTTTCCAGAAAAACAACAAAAGCAGCATGTTTACGATCAACATCCAGATCATACACTCACCCGTCCACGGATGTGAAGTGAGTCTGTTCAGTTCACCTTGATTCACATGGCAGTTCAGCTATGAGCTTTTATGCAGCAGTGTGTCTTCCAATAAATATGGGTGCTCATTATACTATTTGCCTAGGCTGTGTAGGCTAGTAAATCCAAAAATCAATTATAATGATATTTTACTAACATTGGACGGGCAATGTATAAATTACATTGAGACTTTCCAGACTTTGTCTCTCTCTCATTATGTTCACACACGGTACCAGTTGCTAATCTTTTCTTCTATATGTGTGTGGCTGTGATCAGTTATTGAATTTCCATCCCAGTCTGATCCGTTGACACTGTATTCCTCTTGCTAGCTCTGTTCTTTCTCTTCTTTTCTCATATGTCTAGCAGAAGTTACTAATTTTTTACTCAGCCTCCACCCTTACATTCCTTGACCTCTCCCTCCCTTAATTCTGGGGCCACCTCTTCCATCAGGGCTGTGCCTCTTCTGCCATACGGCTTTTCCATCCCTCCATTCCTCCCCCTTTCAAAACTTCCATCCTCCTCTTATTCTATAGATCATCGCCTCCCTATGTTCGGCTTGGTTATAGACAGAGACTAATCCTCTGTCTATGTTCACCTTAGACCTCCCCATCCCTTCTCTCCCTTACTGTTTTCTAAGAGGACCTCATCTCCTGTGGTCCCAGCCCTATAAATCTGGAGGTTGTGTCAGTAAATTATGGCAGTGAGTCATAACAAACCACGCAACTTAATTAAGCCGTATGCCGGATACCAGCTTACAGAAAGAGCAGTGTGCCTCAATGGGTAAACATTTACCGACTCTTCAAGACCAAGTGGTGGTCAAATGGTTTCATTATGTGTGTTTGTTATTGTCTGCATCTAAAACCAAGCTTTAGTTTTCTTCATTTATAGTGTGCATAATTCTTCACACCATCGACCCAGCAACTATTCTAACATAGCAACCTCAACCCTCACCTTGAGTCCGTCTTCTCGGCAGTAGGTGTTTGCCTTTTTTTAAAACTTACAACCTTTTCAACAATGCCATCCGTACCCTCGCTTCACCCCTCCCTCTTTTCTGTACCTTTTCTGATAGGGCTTCCTCCAGAGTGGAGAGGGCTGTGTCTGTGTTGCTAGAGTCAGTTTGGAGGCCTTGGACCCTTTCCCTCAACCCAGTCAGCTGTTTGTCCTTATCCTTTAACTGCTCCAACAGGTTTTCAATCTGAAAAGAGAAGGACAGAGACAAGAAGAGCTCAAGTTAGCATATTGATGTTGAAGAAGCAACTCATAATCAAAAAGGTTAAAAAAAAGTCACCAGCAGAAGAAGATACACTAGCATTTGTAAAATGTACACAACTGTACTAGCCTTGAGAAAAATGTCCCATTGATTCATTGAGAAAAATGGATTCAGACACTTTCTCCAATTTCTTGCTGTGATATTCCAATTTGGCCTGGCAGCTTAAAGATGAGCAGCAATAAAAGCCTCATCAAGACAATTAGGGTTTGATGCATGAAGAGAGAAGAAGTTAGACTTAGTGGTGTAAACAACACAACCATTAAATGGTGTGACCAAATCAGCTTCAGTACCAGTTTAGTCAAGTTTTACTAAGAGTTGATTCATCCCATTGACTGACAGGACTGTACATCTGCCTTTCTGCGGCTAACCTCATGTTGCTAAAGTGGTGGTGTTCAAAAGCCTTTATCTGATGAACATCCGTAAAACAGAACACAATCACACAAAGACACACATGCACACACACAAACACAAAGTACTCGGAGCTGTATCAGACAAAACACAAGCAGATGCAGCTGGTAGAACACAGCACGATGCAATGAGTCTCCAGAGGTCTACAAATTAGTCACAAAGGGAGAGCACATCTGGTGACAGGAGATGGTGACATGGTGACTTATAATTTTCACAAGCACACTCAACATTCCTTTATATTTCACTCGTCATCTTAAAAGGCAGTTAAATGTGCAAAGTTGATAGACTCACTGAGATGCACTGGCTTAGAGCTTTTATTTTGATGTCTCCATCTTACTCTTGTTTAGTGTTTTGTTTTTAAGAGAGACAAAGCTCCATTCAGTAACTTCTGCAAAGCATTAATTCAACATTTGACCCAAGTGGACCTTTCTCAGATCAGGGCTTGTGCTGTACAAAAGAGAGGCACATATACTGAAAAGAATGTATTATTTAATGAACATGAGAATCCAATAAAAACAAGAAAAGCACTTCAGGCCATCAAGAGACCAGATTTTAACTGAGATGGTGACAGTCCAGTGGGGGGGAATTAGCTGCATTCCAGTCATGGGTACATAGATAGATAATGTCCAAATCTCCACAGCTATTTTACAAATGAATCCAATTAGACTGTAGACTTTGGTGTTCTCTGATCCCTGGAGGACAGGAGCAAAGATTTAAGGGAGCCATCTTGGTTTTAGCAATGGAGGGAAAAGGCATTCAGGACCCCTCGGCAGATCTTGATAGGTTAATGACAGTCATTATATAGCCAAGCTAAGGGCTCTGGTAGGTCAGTCCAGAGGCAATAGGGACATTAAACCCTTCAGGGAATGATGGGAAGGTTTCACACTGCCAAAGTCAGATACAATTCCCAGCAATTCATGATTGCCATGAGACTGCCTCTGAAAGAAAAGTGAGGTTATATTGTTTCCTCATTTATTCTCAAATGTTTCTCTCATGTTATGTGAGTTGGCTGAAGAGTCACTTCACACGTTTCCAAGGACGTAGGCACTTGGCACTTGAGTAAGACACTCTATACCAGTCATGATCTGTACATTTTGAAGGCACCGGTGAGCTTGCCACAAATTACATAAGGCTGATGCTGGAACATGTTTATCTCCACATGCAGTAAACACAAGAGGAAGTACAAACAAATGAAGTATCTGGCCTGGCTTCGAGTTGTAGCAGCACAGTAGCTTTGACATACCTTGTTCTCCTAAATACGCACGGAAACATATACATAAGCACTCATGCACACACCCTAGCTCCCTATTCCTACGGGTACCACAGAGCCTTATTTCAGGTCAAATTGAGCATGTCGCCTCTGGTCTTAGATAAATGATTACATTCTTCACCAGCCTAAGTTTGCTTTGGCTGGTCGCAAAAAATAACAACCCCTCGATGAAATATCTAACCATGTCGCTCTGCCTTCTGTGAAAATGTGCAGAAAAAACGTAGAACATAACGTAAACGCTACATCACCATATGAGAAGCACGTCACGTGATTCATGGATATGGGAAAAAGGGGCAAGGAATTCTGTCAGAATTCTCCAAATCAAAACACACTCTCTGGAGAGAAATGCCTTTCGTTGACAGGCAAGGCACAGGGCAGCCGTATGGTTTTCTCTGGGAGAAAAGGGGGCCTCCCAACCAGTAGCTCAATTGTTATGATGAGAACAGCAGTCATTCATTTTATCTCTCAGTGTATGAGGCTCCCTCAAACTCTACTCCCGCATCTCTCTCTCTCTCTCTCTCTCTCTCTCTCTCTCTCTTTCTCTCTCTCTCTCCTCTATCTCTCTCTCTCTCTTCTCACACACACACAGACTTTTATCATTAAACCACCGCGCATATGTCATCCCACTCTCCCACCACACACACCTCCCGCTGAAGCAGACCACCTACGATAGGCAGCTACTCCGACTCTCTGAGCCATGGACTGCGGTGTGGACTGTCTGTCTCAGTGAGTGTATCCTCCTGAGGAATCGTGACGTCTGTTTCAGTCGTCTCCCACACACATGGCTCCTCACTGTTTACAGCCATACGGTTTGACTCTGATAACCTTATCACCAAGATGATAGGACAGGACCACGTTTTCCTTAAATGTGTTGAAGCTCAATAACCTTTAACCAACCGTGACTTCAGACATGACATTAATCTTTCAAAACAGTAGTTGATTTTTGATGAATCATTGATATTACTATGTAAAAAATGGGCAACCTTGCTCACCTAGTGGATAGGGCTGCTGATGTATTAATGTTGAGTCCTAACTCCAGTAGCCCATAGCATTTTGCTGCATATTATCCCCACTCTCTTCACCACTTTCCTGTGTAGGGCTGTTTTGATAATGGCAAACAAAGCCCAGCAAATACAACATACAGGAACAACAATTGTTCACATAAACAAACAGATTATCCATATACTTGTTGGTGCTGGCTTCAGTCATATTGTAATTGACTTACCAACTTGTTTCAGGAGGCTTTAATATTGTCACCAGTGAAACAAAACCAAAGCAAATATGGCATATAAAATTAATAGATATGAGAAAGATAGTAGGCTTTGGAGCTTTTTTGTTGCAGTCTGTAGTGTATCATCATGATTAGGACAAGCTGAGCTCTAATGTTTTGGGAGAGAAGTTAGTGAAACAGTATCAGGTCCTGTGTCTCTGGCGAAAAATTGGGATCTAAAAGCGGTTTGTTCCGGAGAGGAACCACAAACCCGGTCAACCCATTTGTCTTCCACCCAAACTAGGAACTAAAACTCGATGGCCTCCAGTGGAATCATTTCTACAGCACACAAAGGAGACCAGCACTGAGCGTGACCGCCATAAAAATACAAACGTTTGTATTTTTAAAACTCTTTTGGACCAATAAAAATACCAAACAATAATTGGTCGCCCTTTCTGAACGGCACATTTCTCTGCGCTTGTCATCAGCTCTGAAAATATGACAAAGACAGAAGTAAAACCAAAGATCCTGGCACTGATATGAATGCATTTACCCAGACACACACATACATACAGCAACACCCAAATACTCAGAAGGAGGATAACCGCAAACAGAACAATATGTAGTAACAGTGTGAACCTCCCCGGAGAAATCTAGATCAGTCAGACCTAGAAACACCATGAAAGATCATGTTCTGGAAATATCATTCAGCTACTTTAAGTACTCCAATACCACATAATGCAATCCAAGTAAAACATGTGCAGACAAAATGGTGTGTGTTTATATATTGATGTGTCATAATAACATGACACCTGTATACTGTTCCACATGTCCTGCCATTAGAGCTTGATGATTCAGTTTAATAACGGACTTCCTCCTGCTGCTCAGCACTCAGATGTGGCTCTTCAAAGAGAAACACAGATTGGTCATGAAGTTGAGGGAAGATAGTGAACTTTTCAGTGGAGAGGGTGTACCTAAACTTCACTTAACCCCTGTTGCACCACCACCCCTTCTATGGCTCTAAAGCAGGGCAATATGGGCAACTCTGGCAGACTGAGAAAACACTGATACTGTGTAAGCTGGCGCCCCCATGTGGTCATTTTCTGCAACATGCACATATGGCAACTCCGAGTTCATTTAAAATAAAAAGTGATGTGTTATTGTGTGTGTCCCCAAGCATCCCCTGCACGAGGACAGCAGAGTTGGACAGACCACAGAGGAGACTCACATTTCCAAAGTTTGGAATAAGTGAACTCGATATATGTGACACCTCTTTATCAGGGCAATATAACACAGAAGAGATACCCAGAAGTCCCACAAGTCACCTTTTTATTAGAGATAATATCAGAAGCTTAAAATAAAATTGTAAGCAAAACTATTGTAACTCTGCCACTATTACTCAAGCTGCGAAGTCCCCATCAAATGTCTACAGACATTTGATTCAACTGTCTGGGAATGTAAAGGACAATGTGTCACAAAGACCTTTAAGCAGAAAATTACACCTCTCGCCTATTCCCCTCGAATGACCTTCCTGATGTCATGCTGCTTTGCTCGAGGAGTCATTACTCATCTGTTATCGACCAGAACGACCGAGCAAAATGACTTCATAAGACGAGTGGTGCCCAAGAGAGGGAGAAAAAGAAGGGTGGGTCACAACACTCACGTTCTGAAATCATTCACACTTTTCTAAGTAGAGCTCATTCTTTATTTCTGTCAAGGACACTTTACTGTATGTCAAAGAGTGTTTGATAAAAGAATGAAAGGAAATCCTATTGCTACGCCTTTTCGAACTGTTTGCCAACATTAACCTGCAGAAGTGCACTGGGCACATTTGCACAAAAACATGTATTGTGCCACTGCATGTGTACATGCCTTTGTATATGTGCTGTGCTCTTCTCTACCTGAACTGCTACTCCTCCAAACCAAAAAGGGCCATGCAAAAGCAGAATCTAGTTTTGAAAAGCCAAACAGGCAGCTTCTCGTCAATCTTACAGCCAAGGAAATAAATGGTTTGTCGAGGCAGAAGTTAGACCAAAC